CCCGATCGGCAGGCGGGGCCGCTTGCGATGCGCTGCGATCCGCTTCGCCGGCCGGGAGGTCGCGAGTCCGATGCAACATCGGCTCGGTTCGGTTCGATGCTCGGGCCAGACGAAAAGGGGGGATAGGGAAAGGGCATTTGCTGCATGTAGCTGGTTTCGGCCCCACCGAGGGGCCCATTCCTCGATACATGGCCGCCTCCGGCACCGGGAGGCGCCGGGAAAATCAGCTACGTGAACTGAATCTCAAGCACCCCCTATGCTATCCCCCCCTTTCGCCTAGCCCGAGATGCAGCGGCATCGGCATCGGCCGGGGCGGCAGCCTCCAGAGAAGGCGAGAAGGGGGGCCGGCGGCCTCCCGAGGGGGGGGGGGGGGCTTCCGGGAAGCCCGGAAGACACATCTAAAAATCTATGTTGGTTGCTCGTTTCCCCAGCGGCAGCTGCATTCGGCAGGGCCGCACGGTATCTAACATTCCCCCTGAACCATATGGGTTTTACAGGTTTTCCTTTTAGAAAAGTAGATACGTACATATATGTTTCAAACATCGATACGTGAAGATACGATTGCTTACTAATTTTAGATACGAGAAGTAAGTGTTCTTCCTAATTCTAGATCCGGGGTCGTTTTTTGGATACGAACAGACATGATTAGATATGTTTAGATACGTTTCAATACGGCGCCCATCGCTGGAAAGCATGTTTACCACAAATGGAGACGAATAGATACGGCTCCATGTCTCCACTGCCAGGCCTAGGCCGCTCAATGACCGCGAACAGGGAAGACAATGCACATGCCAGTCAGGGGCTTCTTACTCATTGTCCTCGTCCTCCGCGTCGTAGTTCCTCTCGTTCGTTCTTCCTTTGTCCGTCTCCTGGGCCCTTCTCCTCCTGCCTCAACGCATCGTCGTCGTCAACCTCCCCGCCAGTCCCCCTAAAACCGCCTCGCCCGCACCCCGCACCACCCCCTTCACTTTCGATTTGACGCATTTTCCTCGTCCTCGTCCTCGTCCTCCTCCGCCTCCTCCTCCTCCTCTTCGCCCTCCCCCTCCTACGGTTCCCTGTTCCTGCCCAGTTCTCTCCCAAATCTCGTTTCGTCGTTGTTAACCTGGAGAAGCAATTAAGAACCCCCCCCCTCTCCGGCGAAAGTAGAACGCACCCGGCACCCCAGGAACGTTACCCTGGCACCTCGCACCTTCATGTGAACGCAGACGAGCCTGCTCGCCGAAACAAGCACAGCGCCTGAGACATTCTCGCAATGGTTTGGCTCTCATTCGCCATCACGGATCAAGCCGAGGGCCAAGGCCTCAGTCAAGAGGCCTTGGCCCAGCTAAACAGAACAAATCCTCCTCCTCCTCCTCAAGACTCCCTTACGGCACGGCCCTAAACAGAACAAATCCTCCTCATCCTCCTCAAGACTCCCTCACGGCTCCTGCAATAAGACTTATATCTAGAACAACAAGACCAATAACAACACCTACGACAACATCAACATCAAAAACACCAACAACGCCAACACCAACAAGAACAACATTAAGTCCCACGCAAGGGAGAGCCCAGCTTTGAAAATGTACCGTCCGTGCCTACGATGGGGAGCAAATTATTTGGGCGGTGCGGGTGCTAAGATAACGCGCCGTGCGTGGCGAGGGCGATATCCTCGGATGCGCTACCTTACACGTTGGCCGGGAGAAAAACAATGTTTCAACAGGGGTGGTAGCACACATCGTATAGGACAAGAATGATGAAGATAATGAGGCCAAGCTCTTTTTCTTATTCTTGTTATGATCATTATTTTTCTTATTGTCATCAGAATTGTAATTATTACAATTATTATTGTTTCTCTCATTCTTATTCATAGTTTGGTCTTTCCACTTCGTATCAGTATCATGGTTACGATTATGATTATTATCTTTGTTGTTATGATTATTATTACTCTTACCATTACTCTTATTATTATCCTTACTCTTACTCTTATCATTATTATTATTAGTTGTTGTACTCTTGCTCTTACTACCACCATGTTTTAATCATTCCCATCGTTGTTCTCATTATTCCCTTTCGTAATCTTATTATGATCAATAATGTTATCAGCATCCATACTTTGATTATCATTTATTGCCTTCTTCTTACTCTTACTCTTCTCATTCTTAGTATTACTGCTCTTACTCTGATCCTTCTTATTATTCTTGTTTTCCTTGTTATTGATCCTGTCAATCGTATTCTTAGTATCATTATTAGTCGTAGAATTATTCTTGGTTGTATTCGTATTCTGATTATCGGTCGTATTGTACTTCTAGTCTTTTTTGACAAGATGTCGTAATTATTTTGTGCGGGTGCGGTGCTAAGATCACGCGCCGAGCGTGGCGGGGGCGATATCATCGGATGCACGACCCCACACGACGGCCAGGAAAAATCAATGTTTCAACAGGGGTGGTAATACAAATCGTATAGGACAAGGATGTTGAAGATAATGGGAAAAGCCTCTCGTTCTTATTCAGATTCTGAGCACTCGCGTTCTTATTATTATTATTATGGTTATTATTCTTACTAATTTCCGTATTCTGATTTGGATCTTGAGTACGAATGCCATTATTCTTAGTAGTCTTATTTCTTAGTTCTTTCTTAGTATTGTGCGTATCGCTTTTATTATGATCATTATTAGTATTATTTGTCTTATGAATTCTTCTCAGTATTAGTATTATTGTCATTATTCCTAGTATTCGTATGTCATTATTTTTCTTATTCGTATTCCCGTTCCAATTGGAATATCACCCGAGCCAGGGCGCGGGAATTGTTTGATTTTCTTTCATTTGCGCGGTGCTAACTAAATCGTCCGGCGAAAACCGACCCCCATAATTATTTTATTACGGTGCGGTGCTAATGATAACCCCGGGGGGGTCCTGAATAGCTTGATGAGGTTATCCATCCTTTTCATCGTCGTGTTTGTCGTCGTCGTTCGTTCACTCCCTCCTCATCGCTACGGCTCCCCACTATCCGCATCCCACTGCTCATTGATTCGGCCAATATCATGGATCGTGTTCGCTCCAAGAACACAGCCAACAGCATCCGTTCTGACAAGGTTAGGTACGAATAGATTCGGCCTGGCACTGCCAGTCTTTGTAAAGTAATACGAGTAACTTTTTTTTGAAGAAGCATATATATACGGTTCCAATGTCTTAGATATGCTTGCAACATAAGTACGTTGAGGTACGGTGGCGGCCCCGCGCAGGCCGGGGGCACGCTGTCGCCGCTGCAGAACAATAGATACGATAGGCTTCTCGCCTGCACCAGGGCGCGCTCGCATTTCAACGCATCCATTATTTCTAGATGCGGCATCGCTCGGACGTGCGCACCTCTTCTCGGCGAGGACCATTGAGGAGCACCCCGGGGATTGCCTTGCGAAGCCATGCGCGCACGAATCCGCAACGCGTGCACGGGGAGTGGACGTCCGAGCGATGGCGGGCGGAACCCAGACCCACGCCGTCATGTTTTCCAATATGTATGTGTGAATATATATGTATATATACATACATACACATATATATAAACACATATGTATATATACACACACATATATATATGTTGGTATATATATATATATATATGTATCACGCGACCCCCTGAGATCAGGACCCATTCCCTTGGACCTGCTCTTCATCCTGAGCCCTTTTTGACGCCCCCGAGGCCCAGTAAGGGCCCCCAGAGGCTGAAAGTAGCGAGAAACCTCCCGTCGTGATTTTCGTCGCGGCGCGAGGGGAAGGGTTCATCTTATTAAAAAAAAATTGGATAACATAAAGCCAGTGTAGTGTCATAGCGTAGTGTTGAAGCCAACCGGCAATGACATTACGCTAGCTAACCGTAACATAGTGTCATTGCGTAGTGTTGAAGCCAAGAGGCTATGACAGCACCCTAACCGCAGCTCAGTGTCATAGCGTAGTATTGGAGACACCTGGGTGTGACACTACGTTACGGTTAGCGTAGTGTCACAGCGTACTGTTGGGTACACCTGGGCGTGACACCTACGCTATGACAGCACGCTACGCTTAGCGTAGTGTCGTAGCTCAGAGTTGGGGACACCTGGGACGTCGGCGATGCATCGGCGACGCGGCGCGATCCTCCGACCCCGTTTACTCCGACCCCCGACGTTGTGATTGTAGTGGCTTCCGGCCAGTGCCGCCGATCCGGGGCGCTTCCGTTGCTGCCGAAAGCGCGCGATGGCTGTCATGACCGGCGACGACGTCGAGCGGTGAGGATGATGATGGGGATTGGGAAAGGAGGCGACGGCGTAGGATGAGGAGGAAGAGGAGGCTCATGATGAGGAGGGGGGCGGGGGGGGGAGGGGCAGGAGTAGCAGGATGTTGAGGATGAGGAGGAGCAGGAGGAAGCGGGAAGTGGAAGAGGGGGAGGGGGAGAAGGGAGGAACATGATAACGATGAGGAGATTTTCGGCGGTTGTTGGAGATGTTCGGCGGTTGTTGGAAAGCCTTTTTGGGGCCAGGAGTTGGCCTTCTTTTGGCTGACACCTCGCCGATTTGGCGCACCCTCTGAAAAACGTCGTGCTAGAGCTGTCTGCGTCACAGTTTTTTTGTGGAGCCTCGTGCATCATCGGTCTCTGCTGGGAACCATTTGTGTTTTTGGGTATTTGGGGCTTTCGCACGATCCTCTGCGGGCCCTTGTGAGATCATGGATGCGAAGGACACCGAAAACGGGCGAATATGTGAAAGCGTGGAAAACCTTTTTGTATTGCAGCGCTTGTGTTCAGACGTAGGGGTCGTGCCCGACGTAGTGATTTCTCCACGACGCGACCCCCAGCGGTCCAGACCCATTCGCCGGGACCGGTTTTTCATCCTGAGTCGTTTTTTTGACGGTCCCGAAGCCCACCGCGGAAAATTGCGCACGACCTTCCGCCGTGATTTTGTCACGACGCGAGGGGGTCAGGGTATTCCGCGACCCCATCTGGGAGGCCTCCATGGCCAGGGCCTTCCTGTGGGGGCGCCCGCCGCGCAGGCCCCGGCGGTCGCCGCTGCTGCTGCGCTCTTCCGGCGGGCGGGGGCGCGCCCAGCGCGGGCCGCGCCCAGCTCGGGAGGACTGGGCTCCTCCTTGGTAGGGGCCTCCTCATCCTCCCCCTCCTCCTCCTTCTCCTCCTCCTCCTCCTCTTCGTCTTCCTCCTCCTCCTCCTCCTCCTCCTCCGCCTCCTCCTCCTCCTCACCTTCGTCTTCCTCCTCCTCCTCCTCCTCCTCCTCCTCCTCCTCCTCCCCCTCCTCCTCCTCCTCTTCATCCTCCTTCCTACTTTTCCTCCTCCTCCTCCTTCTCTTCCATCCTTTCTCCTCCTTTTCCTCCTCCTCCTCTCCTCCTCCTTTTCCTCCTCCTCCTCCTCCTCCTCCTCCTCCTCCTTCTCCTTCCTCCTCCTCCTACTCCTCCTCCTCCTCCCCCCCCCCTCCTCCTTTTCCATCCTCCTCCTCCTCCTCCTCCTCCTCCTCCTCCTCCCCTCCTCCTCCTCCTCCTCCTCCTCCCCCCCCTCCTCCTCCTCATCCTCCCCTCCTCCTCCTCCTCCTCCTCTCCTCCTCCTCCTCCTCCTCCTCCTCCTCCTCCTCCTCCTCCTCCTCCCTCCTCTCCTCCTCCTCCTCCTCCGCTCCTCCTCCTCCTCTCCTCCTCCTCCTCCTCCTCCTCCTCCTTTTCCTCCTCCTTCCTCCTTTTCCTCCTCCTCCTCTCCTCCTCCTCCTCGTCTTCCTCCTCCTCCACCACTCCTCCTCCTCCGCTTCTTCCTCCTCCTCCTCCACCCTCCTCCTCTTCCTCCTCCTCCTCCTTCTTACACCTCCTCCTCCATCCTCCTCTCCTCCTCCTCCTGCTCCTCCTCCTCCTCCTCCTCCTGCTCCTCTCCCTCCTCCGCCTCCTCCTCCTCCTCCTTCCCCTTCCTCTCCTCCACACCTCCTCCTCCTCCTCCTCCTCCTCCTCCTCCTCCTCCTCCTCCTTCTCTCTGCCCTCCTCCTCCTCCTCCTCCTACTCCACCTCCTCCTCCCCTTCCCCCTCCTCCTCCTCCACCTCCCCTCTCCTCCTCATCCCCTTCCTCCTCTCCTCCTCCTCCTCCTCCTCCTCCTCTTCCTCCTCCTCCTCTTCCTCGTCCTCCTCCTCCTCCTCCATGTCTCAGGCTGCTGTGCTGTCTCTCGCCAGGATTGGTTGCACATGGCCCGCTGCCGATGTGCTCTGGCATCCTAGACTGGGGGAGTTCACAATTGCTGACTTCTCTCCTGCATTCTGTGTTGATTTTGTCAGGCCTCTTGCGCTACAGGCTTCGGACATCGTGGCGATGGAGAAACTCCAAGCGCCCAGGGTCTCCCCTCTCAATTGGTTTTCTCTCACCCGTCTCATCAACAAGGACTTTGATGACAGCTGGTCGCAGCACCGTGCTGCTGCCATTCGGAGCCTGGTCGGTGGATCCCATTGGCCTCAAGCTAGGTTGCACTCCAACGGTAAGGCTCAGTCTGATGCCTGCGTCCACTGTGGCACGAGAGGTACCTTGTGGCACCGCTGTTATGGTTACCTCAGGAGCCTTCATGTCAGGCGTGAGGAGTGCCCACAGCATGTCTTGCAGGCCTCACAGTATGTAAAGCAGCCAGGAGAGGAAGCTGGTGAGCTCATGGCCAGATGTTTCTTTCTCTCCCTTTCTCTTTGCTTACCTTGCAAGGAGGCTCCCCAGGAGGATAAGCTCCCGTTTGTTGGTGTCTTCCTTCTGTTGAGATTTTCAGTTGTTGTCTTCGTGGACGGCTCGGCCTTCCACTCCTACCTTCAGGGATTCAGTCGTGCAGGATGGTCGGCAATTCAGATCGACCCAGCTGGTAATCTGATCGGCGCCATGTGCGGCGCCGTGCCGCTCCACGCGGCCCCAGGACAGGCGACTCGGGATGGGGAGGACAGGGGTTTCCGAATGCTCTCTCGGTTCAGCGAACGGTCATCAAATCACCCGCTGCAAGTCCACACGTATTGTTCAGGCACGTTAGGTTCTGCCACAAATTCTGCTATTGCCCTCTCGGCCTCCAACCCTCGTCGTCACATGTGGGTTGATTGGTGGACCGGCATCGGCAGACTGGCCACTGTTTGTAAAGTTGAGGCTCACAGGAGCCTAGGTGCCGCCACCTCGGATCATGAGGAATGGTTGATGAAATGTAACGCTTTCGCGGATAACTGGGCCAAGGAAGGAGCGCGCCTCAGGAACGTTCCCCAGGATCACCTAGACTGTGTCTCTGGGTGTGAAAGGATAGCCTCGGACTTTGTCAAGTGGCAGAGCAGATGCCAAGAAGATGTTGGAGAGCTGGACCCGCCAGACTCTCAGGATCTTGCAGGTACTGCGGACATAGTTCTGGATGCGGATTTACCCCCTGGTTTAATTCAGGCCTGTTTGGATGAAGGTGTGGCGCCGTTCCGAGATTGGTCCTTGGCTGTGTGGGTCGAGCTTGCTCACCCCGCTCCGAGCCTCCCTCCGACGCCCACTGTGAATGGGTCTGCCGAACCAGGAGAGGTAGATGATTCCTTTTTCTCTGCCTCTGGTGTCCCCTAGGCAGTCAGGGGCCACTCGCTAGTGCAGGCCTCTGTCACCGATCAATGCAAGGACCTCACGGACCTTCTGTTATGCAAAGTTGTGAGGCCTCGGCGCGCACTTCGGCGCGAGGTCTCAGTGAGGCGCGCAAGGGTTCCAAGCATCCTGGCCTCAAGACCCAGCGGTCTAAGTTGAAGAGGCGTTGTTCCCAGGGCGCCCTCATGGCAACGCCAGGGTCGGTCCTGCCTTTGGTCCGGCCCTCGCGATGAAAGCTGTTTAGGGGTCCTCTGCTGGGTGTGGTTGGGGGCGCTGCTGCTGCTGTTGCTGCGGGGATCCCTGACAGCGAGTCTGTGGAGAGGCAATTATCGGATGGCAATCACATGTGCCCTGTTTCCAGAGAGTCTGGTGCGAGGGGGAGTTCCCGCCTCCTTCGCTTTCGGGGCCTACAGGCTGTCTCAGTAGTCAAGTTGCATGGCTTCGCCTCGGTGATCTTGTGCAGTGGGCGAGGTCCTGCCAGAGGTCTCAGAAGGAGGCGCCCGAGCTGATCGATAACGATTAAGCTCTTGGGCGCCGAGAGGCGAGGGGCACCATGGGGTGCCCGTGTTGTCAGTACCCGATGTCATGCGGGAGGGCACCCTCGAAAGTTCTTCCCTTTCTGCCGGCGGAGGGCTTTTTGTTCGTGAAGGGTTACTTTATCCGAGGTCCGACCGTGCGGCCCCCCAGTCCGCGAGGCCAGCCGCATGATACGAACGTTCGCTACACGCGCAGCGGAAACTGACACCTCTCCGTCGTCTGCGTTGTCGGGGTCGGGGCCCCGAAGTGCCTCCACATCCTCTGGCGACGTGACGTGTTCTGAGATGCGGCCGCTTCCGGGTCGGACGAGAGGGTTGGAAAGGAGGGGGCACCAGTGCGGAGGGTTTCAAAAGGGGGTTTTGGGGGGACTGGGTTTTCCAGAGAACCCCCCAGGGGCCTCGGGACCTCGTCAAATCAGGGGGTGCGCAGCCCATGGGGGAGCTCTCCCGGAAAAAAACTTGCCGAAAAACCCGAGAGGGTTGGAAACGGGGGGGTACTTATGCTGCGTGCAGGTGGTTTCGTTTGCGGCCCCGCAGTGCCAGGAGGCGCCGGGGGAATCGCCCGTCCGACCCGCTTCTGGCGAACCGAACCCGCACTTTTTTTGTGCAGGCCCACGCTGCGCTGAAGGCCGGGACACTCCCGCTGGGGGCCAGTTGGCTGCAGACATCTGTCGAACTCTAAAAGCCCTGGCCAGTTTTTTTGTTCAGAAGTCTGACTTGCAGGGGTAGGGATCGCACGTGGTTGCCCATGTTCGGGGGTGGGCAAGAGGGGGGTGATGACTAGGGGGGGGATATCACGGCCAGGGCCATGAGATCTCCCCAGATTTCACGGCCCCTCTTCTTATTTCAGTGCGTTCCTTGGCCCCCCCTGGGCCGCGCACGTGCCTTGGGCCATGATTTGCCCCCCCCCCCCCCCCCCTCTTGGACGCCCCCCTCTTGACCGTCCCCGACATGCTCTCGATCCCGGCCGTTCTCCTCCACCTCGGTCTCCACGAGGCCCCTTCGCGGGCCCGTCGCGAGGCCCTCGGGCGTGGGCCGGGCGCAGAGGTCTGCCGCTGGAAAGGGGGTCGCTCCTCCTCCTCCTCCTCCTCCTCCTCCTCCTCCTCCTCCTCCTCCTCCTCCCCCTCCTCCTCCTCCTCCTCCTCCTCCTCCTCCTCCTCCTCCTCCTCCTCCCCCTCCTCCTCCTTTTCGGGGCTCGGGGTTCCCGATGGGGCCGCGCGCCGGGAAGACCATGCGCGCTGTCCGAGGTGCGGCTGCGCGCGGCGGAGCGAAGGGTCCGTGACATCCGGGCGCAGATGGCGCTGCGGGCCCGCGGTGCCCTCCCGGATCCTTCTGGGTCGAACGGGAGGTGAGCGTGGCGAGGGCGGTCCGAGAAGGCGGAGCGGCGAGGGCGGTCCGAAAAGGTACCCAAGCGGTACCTGATCGAGCCCCCTGGGACTCGGGAGGGGCCCGAAAGGGGCACGCCAGGGGACCGCTTCTCACCCCGCCAAGTATGGCCCCCCGTGAAGCCACGCCCGAGGGAGCTGCAGAAGGAGGGGGGTCCAAAACGGCGGTGGTTCCCGCGAGGGCTGCAACTCCGTCGACGGCGGATCTCCGGGGGCGGGTGCTGCCCGAGACGTCCGCGGCCCAAGGTGCCCCCACGACTGCCCGGGAGGCCTCCACGGCCTCCCGAGCAGTCCTCTCGAGACCCCAGTTAGGGCCCCAGGGCCTCCCAAATGGGGCGGCATGCTGCGCCGACAGGGGGGGGCACCACCTCCTCCCGCCCGAGGACCGCGAATCGAGGAGGGAGAGGAGCGAGGACCGAGGCAGGAGGTGCCCATAGGACATCTTTGGGCGCCGTGGGTGGTTCCCGGGGGGTGGGGTCTTGGAGGTCCTCCTCTTGTGGCGGCCTGAAGGGGGAGGGCGGGTTGGGGCGAAGGGGGTCGGCGAAGACTACTGCGCGCCACTTCGAGTAGGGGGTGGACTACAGGATTCATGTGTTAATTGTGGCTTTCGTCGACAGTTCGTAGAGGTCATGATATTGATCTTACTGTTGTTTTACCTGTTCCGTTTTGCCGTGTTTGTTTCCGCTTCCGACGCCGTTAGTTTGTCCGTTCCTTCGCCGTTTTCTTTCCGATTCCGGCTCCGGCTCCACTCCCAGAGCCGTTTTCTGTTGTCGTTTCCCGTCGCCGGTTTTCGCAGTTTCCATTTTGAAAAGACGCTTTGTCGGAAACCACTCAGCTAGATACGTTCTGCGCGTTTGCCTGTAATTTCGGAGATAATTGCAGGTTCGGGATAAGTCAGTTCTGCAGTCGATCCCCTCCCTACTCGACCACTGGTGTCGCACCCTGGCCTCCGGGAGCCTTTTCCCATATGATGCCGCTCCCTATCGCCAGGAGGGCTGGCGCCGAAACTGCGGCCGATTCGCCAAAGGCCCCCTATCCTAGGCTGATCCCCCCGCTCGTCCGCCCCGAGAATGGGCGCCTCCCTAGGCAGGACGGGCGGGTGGCTACTTGAGTCACCGCGGGGGTTCTGAAGTGGATAGGGAGCTGTAAGTAGGCGCTCATGCGGGTTATAACAGGCCTGGACTAGCTGATAAGTGGGTTCGAGGTGCCCTCAGTTGCTCAGGGGTGGTAAGGATCTAGGCGCAGTGGGCGGAGCCCACTCGGCCGAATTGGCGAACCCACCCATGTCACTTAGGGTACGTGTAACCCACTTACAAGCTAGGCTAGGCCAGATGTAGTCCACCTTAGCATCCTCATACAACCACCTATCCACTTTGCACCAACCGCGGTGATCCAAGTAGGACGAGGAGAAATCCGTTCCGGAGCGTTTCGGAACGCTCGCAGAGCGTGCTTGAGCGCTCTGAGGAGGCCGCGACGCCCGAGGCAACTTGCAGAGCCGCCAGATCTCTGAGATTCTCGAGATTGATCCTTACCCGGTGTTGCTCTCGTCCTGGCTCCGTCTTACCAAGATCGAGGTTCGGAGGTTGCACGTGCACGTGGCTCGATGAACACGTGTTCGGATCACCTGGGCCGAGTCTATAGTTTTTTGAAGCGTCTTTCTGCTTCAAGAGTCGCAGGGCCCTTGGCTTCTCCCTCCCATTTCCTCTCCCCACACACACCTGTCTGCCTGTTCTGCCCCGGCGCGAGGCCGCCATCGCTGCCAGAAGAGGACCTCGGGCTCTTGCTTGGGCCCAAATTCTCGAGGCACCCAGAGGAGATCGGCCGATAACTGGCTTCAGAACCACCCAGAGCCTGGGTCGACCCAGATGTCTTCACCTGGAGCACCAGGCCTCGGAGGTGGAGGGTTTCTCCGAAGGGCTTAGGTGACCCGTCCTCCTCCTCCTCCTCCTCCTCCTCCTCCTCCTCCATCTCCTCCTCCTCCTCCTCCTCCTTCTCCTCCTCCTCCTCCTCCTCCTCCTCCATCTCCTCCTCCTCCTCCTCCTCCTCCTCGTCCTCCTCCTCCTCCTCCTCCTCGTCCTCCTCCTCCTCCTCCTTCTCGGGTCGCCTACGGCCCCGGGGGAAACCGCGCAGGGGGGCGCCTTGGAGAGGCTGGGCTGTTTGGTCCGCGCCCCAAGATCCTGCCCTGGAGCTCCCGCAGCCGTCTCGACAGCCCATTGGCCACGCGCTTGCTTGCCCAGCCTGCGCCGGAAAGCGCCCCGCGGGTCAGCGATGGCCCGCTCCGCCCTCGCCACCGCCTGCGTGCTCGCGGCCCTGGCCTGCGCCGTCTACAGTGGAGCCCGCGCCTTCGTGTCCGCGCCGCAGAGCCCCGCCCTGCGCGGCGATGCGCTGGCGGCTGCCGGCATCCTCGCCGCCGCCACGCCGCAGGCAGCCAACGCGTTCACGTATAACGGCAAGGAGTACTTCGACGTCTTCTACGGCATCAGCCCGCTGTACTGGGCCATGTGCGCCTTCGGCATCGTCTTCTACGGCGCCGTGCTGAAGAACGCCGCGCTCAAGTACAACACGCCATACGGCACCACCACCAACCCGGACGCCAAGCCAGTGGTCACCGGCAAGTTCGTGGGGATGGAGGTGGAGACCAACCAGACCGAAAACTACAACTACAAGGGCAAGGACTACATCAACAAGTAAGAGTCCCGCGGCAGCGGGGCACCGCCTCTATTCACCAGAGACAAGAGTAACACTGCCACCAGCTAGGGGGGGGGCTGCCCCACCTTCTCCAGCTGGTTGCACCTCGCTACGGGCTTGCCTCCAGAGAGTTCCCAGAAGGAGGTGCCTCCAGACCGAGAGCGGCCACCCCCACAGACCCCCGACGTCATGATTTTTTCATGACGCGACCCCCAGAGGTCTGGGTCCATTCCCCGGGACCGGTTTTTCATCCCGAGTCGTTTTTTGACGGTCCCGAGGCCGAAAATAGCGCAGGTTCTTCACAACGCGAGGGGCTCTGGCCCCTGGCTGGTGGTCGTGGTACTCTTGCCTCTCCCAGACCTGTGGGCACGCGGCCGGCGCACTCTCGGCCATGGCCCGCTCCCGCGGGGGGCGCCGGGCTCCCGGCTGCTCGAGGTGCGCAGGTCGTTACCGCACCTCCGTGCCGCGAGCTCTCCTGGCCGGCGGGCTGCGGAGGAGGCGCCCTTTCGGCCCACGCTGATGGGCCTGGTTTCGACCACCGCCACCATAAGTTGGAGGGGGGGAAGGAGGAGAAGGAGAATGAGAAGGAGGAGGAGGAGGAGGAGGAGGAGAATGAGAAGGAGGAGGAGGAGGAGGAGGAGGAGGAGGAGGAGGACCCCCTCCCCCTCCAACTTATGGTGGTGATGGTGAAAATTAGCCCATCACACGTTCTTCAGGCGAGCTCTGAGTTTTTAGTCTGCGAGCGATTGGCCGTTGTCTGGCCGCTCTGCATAACAACAATATTTCATCATCATCATCATCATCATCATCATCATCATCATCATCATCATCATCATCATCATCATCATCATCATCATCATCATCCTCATCCTCATCCTCATCACCAGCATCAGCATCAGCATCATCAGCATCATTATCATCATCATCATCATCAGCAGCAGCATCATCATCAGCATCATCATCATCAGCAGCAGCATCATCAGCATCATCGTCAGCGTCATCAGCGTTACCAGCACCATCACCACTTCTTGCATCAGTCGAGAACGACGGCACGAGCTCCTCTCGGAGCTCGGCGGTGTTGTGTGCGGGAGGTCCGCGCAACCAGAGTCCGAGTCCATGCTGGTGGCGCGCAGGAGGCGCTGGCGCGAAGCGGGGTGGCCTTCCCAGGCGCTGGGGTGCTTCTTGGACCCTCCCCGGTCTCTAGGATTAAGTCGGGCTTGTCCCCCTACGGGAAGAATTTTCAAAAAATCGTCAAAACATCTGTCTGGGGACGATTTTGTTTTTACATGCTGTTTATTTTGTGCGTATGTTGTGAAACTTTTTCTTTGTCGTCGTCCAAAATCCCCCTGTAGGGGGACACGCCCGACCGAACCCTATGAAGCTTTCGCGGAAGCCTTCGAGACCCCCCCCCCGCCTGCCCAATTCAGCAGTCCGATGCCAGAGCTTCTGCGCACCCACCGCAGCCTGGGGGCCCGACCCAGAGCTTTTGTGCACCCACCGCCGCCTGGGGGACCGGTGCCCCTGGACTCCTTGGGGGCAGCGGACACGGACGTTCTCGGGCCCCCAGAGAGGGGGCTCCAGAGACTTCCACGTGCGTTCAATGCCTCCTTGGGCTCCCCAGGCGAGGAACGAAACACTGTATGACCATACACTTTCGGCCCTGATCTCCCAAAGCGGCATCAACATAAGCATAACGGAACAACGACGGCGGATCTCCACGGGCATGGGCGCCCCCGGGAGATGGGCACGCATGCGGCGGGGGCGTTGGGTAAGGAATGTGCCTCAGGACCTCAGGAGGCTTTCAGGCATTGGAGGGCTCTTCATCTGAGGAGGGCCGCGGTGATATCGTTTTTTGTCCCGAGCGTCCCGCCCCACACGGGCGGAAGTGGCAGTCGTAACCCGTCCGGAAAAACAGTCGTCGGAAATCGGAGGCCCGGCCCACTGACGTCGCCATCGCGCCAAGAAGGCGCCGGAGCACCCCTCGACGCGCGCGGGGGCGCAGCCCCGCCGCGGAAGACGAGCTGGGCGGCGGCGACATCCATGGCCGATTCATGATGGGAGTTCCGCTGGCTTCCAGACGCCGGGCTCATCCAACGGTTCCTCATCCCCGGACCCCCGACGTCATGATTTTTTCATGACGCGACCCCCAGAGGTCCGGACCTATTCGCCGAGACTGGTTTTTCCTCCTGAGTTGTCTTTTGACGGTCCCGAGGCCCGGTGAGGGCCCCCAGAGGCCGAAAATATAGAAAAACCTTCCGTCGTGATTTTTTCATGACCCAAGGGGGTCTGGATCCAGAGCCCTCACCGTGCAGATCCCAGCCTCAGGAACAGCACGGAGTTGCGCGCGCGGGGTTCGAAGGAGTGGCGCCGCTCGCCTGGCGCTCTCGTGAACGCTCCGACCACTGGTCGCTCGTGCCTGCACGTTTGTCGGTTGCGGCGCTCGCTTGCTCCGGAGAAGGGAGGAGGAGGAGGAGGGAGGAGGAGGAGGAGGAGGAAGAGGAGGAGAAGGAGGGAGGAGGAGGAGGAGGAGGAGGTGGAAGAAGAGGAGGAGGAGAGGAAGGAGCACGAGGGGAAGGACATGGAGGAGAAGGCGGAGCAGGAGGGCTTGGGAGGACGAGGGGGACCGGGGGGCCGGAGGAGGTGGAGACGGAGAGGGGAGGATTCTAGGCAGAAAGAGGGGCAGGAGTGTGGGTTCATGATTGGGGGAGGGGGGCGAGGTGCAGGAGGAGGAGGAGGAGGAGGAGGAGGAGGAGGAGGAGTACGGTTCGCAGGAACCAGTGCTGATGGGTAGAAGTGTCGACTGTCGAACACACTAGCATATTTCTGTCCTCATCCCCATCTTTATCCGTATCCCCTTCGCTTACTCGTGTGTATCCAGGTCCTTCCCCGCTTCACATTGTATAAGTTATTTTGCTATTACCCTTGGCAGTGCCCTGACCAGTTCTTCGTCCCTATCGCATCCTTTACTCCTCGCCCCGGCTCCACGGAGAAGGCGCGGAAAGCATGAGAGGAGGAATAGAGGCAAGGAGGTAGGGAAGAAGGAAAGTCGGCGGCGATACCCTTGAATCCTTCTCCCACTTCTCCCCGTCCAGACGAGCGGGCCGCACCTTTCAGATCTGCACCTTCCTTCTGGTGGCCCGCCCTTTTCCAGGCCCGTCGGGCCTTTGTCGCTGCGGCCACGGGGGTCTGCTCCCCCAGGCAAGCGCTCGAGTCGCCTTGAGCGAAGTCGAACCCCTCCGAAGTTGTGTGATGGTCCTCCTCGACTCGTCCCCTTCTCCTCCTCATCATAGGAGTGCGTCTGGGATGTCCTGGGGAGCGCGACCCGCAGAAGCATTCTTTTTGCGGGTGTTCGCCGATGTATATGCTCGCCCGTCGCAAACTAGGATATGATTTTCCGACGCTCCCGCTTTTGGACCCCCATCCTGGCTCTGGGCTTTATCCACCCCCATCCCGAGGCCTTTTTAATGTACGGCGTTCCACTTCCACCTTTACAGGCTGGCCCATCAGGAGAGCAGGTCTCGAGCCGTACCATACGATGACGATGATTCTTCTTCTCTCGCCCGTGCGGCCTTACAGGCGGTCGAGCTGCCCCTCGGCGGCCCTCGTCGCAGGAGGCCGCCTCCTCGTCTCTGGGCTTGTCATGTCGGTGACACGCGGTCCCCCAGACGCTCCAACCTCCAACCTCCTCCTCTTCGTAGATCCCGTGCTGTGATCGAGGTGTCCCCAGTTCGGTCGTTGGGAGGGGACTTCCGCTTGTTTTGTCATCGATCGGGGCGCAGCGCCATATCACGCCTCACGTCCACCCGCCTAGACATGTGCAGGTCCGCCTCCACCTCCTCCTCCTCCTGCTCCTGCTCCTGAAAAGACGACGACGACGACGACGGCGGCGGCGGCGACGACGGCGGCGGCGGCGGCGACGACGACGACGACGGCTCACGGAGTTCCCCAGAGGTCCTTGGAGGGGATACAGCCCCAAGTGCCGCGAGAATGTCCGCAAACCTGGATCCCCGAGCACGTTGACCCTCGATCCTCGAACCGCGGCGGCGGCGGCGGGGGCGGCGACAGCGACGGCGGCGGAGGCGACCCCCGACATCCGACACTGTGATCTTTCCCATGCAGGGCCCCAGAGGTCCCGACCTGCTCCCCAAGGGCAGTTCTTGCGTCCTTTGGCATCCCCCCTCCCACGCCCCAGCAGCTTGCCCCATGAGGCCGATAAAGCGAAGAACAAAACCACCCGGCTCGAACAACCCCCGTCGCCAGAGATCTTGGACGGCGGCGGCTGTAGCGATGGCGACGGCGACGGCGGCGGTGGCGGTGGCGGCGGCGATGGCGGCGCGGCGGCGGTGGCGGCGGTGGCAGCGGCGACGGCGACGGCGATGTCGGCGGTGGCGGACGCGGTGGCAGTGGCGGCGCGGCGGCGGTGGCGGGTGACGCTGTGGCGGTGGCGGCGGTGGCGGTGGTGGTGGCAGTGGCGACGGCAACGGCAACGGCGATGGCGGCCTCGAGGACGGCCTCTGGAGCCGCCAGCCGCGGGCGTACGTGCAGTGCCGGCCCCGAGGCCAGCCGTCCTCCTCCCGCGCCACTCTCCGCGCCGCCGCGCCGGCCTCCATAGAGGCCTCGGTGGGGGCCTTCGGAGGTCCAAGCAGGGCATAATGTTCAGTCGAGCATCTGATTAAGAAACCTCCTCCTCATTAGCCAACTTGCCGGAAAGCTGGCCCAGTTGCTTGAGCACGTTCGCCCTCCAGCGCTACTGGCAGAAATGGGCCCAGGTTTTTTTGTTCCAAGAAACGTCCGGGAAGTTGGCCCCGATTTCTTAAGGGATAGTTTTATTGATCGCGTTCTCGGCAGTAGTCCGCAAACCGTGCGTGCACTGACGGGTATCTCACTGGCGTGCCTAAGGCAATGGCACGGGTGTCCCCAGGATTCGCCACGTGCCGGCGTGCTGCCGCCCCGCTGCCGCGCGTTGCCGCCCGTGGGGGCGTCCCAGGGGCGCCCTCGAGCTCACACCACATGGCTTACACGACACAGCTTTCGCAACGTAGACTACACCGCATGACTTTCACCTCTGCCAGCGCTCGGGCCCGTGCGCGTTTCTCGTTGGTGACCATCGATGGGCATCCTGGATCCTCTTGGCAGAGCAGCAAAACACGCACGGCATCGAAACATGCACGGGGGACGGACGTCCGAGCGATGGCGAGCTGCTCTTTGGAGTACCGCAGTGATCAGCGAAACGGGTTTAGGGGGTTACAGGTGGATGCCAATGTGGATCATATCCGGCATAACCTAGCTTATGAGTGATTGGCAAGTGATCTAACTGGCTCGGGTGGGTATCGACAGCTCCGCTGAGTGGGCGGAGCCCACTTCGCCCGGATACTTATACCCCCGCTAGGCCACGTGGGGCACTTGTAACCAAATTATCAGCTGGATTTGGCCGTGATGTTCCGCTTGGCATCCGCATGTAAGCCCGTATCCGCTTAGCAACCACCGCGGTGGTTCGAGTCCACGATGCAGCAGTGCACTGTTTGGCCCACGCTGGCCAACGCCCGCGCAGCACACGGGCGAGGAGGGCGGACGACGGCCAGCCGTGCGCAAGCCCCCCCCCCAGGGCAGCGTGCCAGGCGGGGTGCGTGGAGGAGGCCTCCGCGGCGGCCGCCGAGGTGCAGGCGCGACCGGTGTGCATGGGGTGGGGCCTACCCAGCCCCCCTCGCGTGGCGAAACACGGCTCCGTTTTGCCGCTCTTGTTGCCGGTTTCGTTGCCGTTTTGATTGCCCGTTCCGTCGCCGTTGTGTTTCCGGTTCCGGTTTTGGTTCTGGTTCCCCTCCCGGAGCCGTTGTGTTGGCATTCCCATTTTCAAGAGATTTGGTTTTCGAAAACGGTGAGAAACGGCCTTGCCGCTTCCAGAGCCCGCTAAGGGGTGAGGGGGTGGAATGAAGAAGTCAAGGAGGGGGATGAGTCGATAATTTGAATCACCGCGATGGCTGCTAAGTGGATACGGGCTTACAATGTGATACCAGTGTGGTTTATATATTGTCATACCCAGTTGATAAGTGGGTTACAAGTGCGCTAAGTTGCCTAGCGGGTGTAAGGATCCTGGCGAAGTGGGCTCCGCCCACTTAGCGGAGTTGTTGAAACCCACCCAAGCCACTTAGAGCATGTGTCAGAGTGAGGGGGCCGAACGGTCATTCATTGTCCCTGGGTGCGTGGCTGAAGTGAGATTCCGCGGTGCGGATTCGTGTTGTTGTTTGTTGTTGTTGTTGTTGTGGTGGTGGTGGTGGTGGTGGTGGTGGTGGTGGTGGTGGTGGTGGTGGTGGTGGTGGTGGTGGGGTTGTTGTTGTTTGTTGTCGTCGTCCCACCCGCAACCCGCCCCGCGACCCACCCGCGACCCCCCGCGACCCACCCCGCGACCCACCCGCGACCCACCCGCGACCCACCCGCGACCCACCCCGCGACCCACCCCGCGACCCACCCCGCGACCCACCCTGCGACCCACCCTGCGACCCACCCGCGACCCACCCGCGACCCACCCCGCGACCCACCCCGCGGCCCACCCCGCGACCCACCCGCGACCCACCCGCGACCCACCCCGCGACCCGCCCGCGGCCCACCCCGCGACCCACCCGCGACCCGCCCGCGACCCACCCGCGACCCACCCGCGACCCACCCGCGACTCACCCCGCGACCCACCCGCGACCCACCTTCGACCCAAACCACGTTCAAGGTACAAACCAACATTTTCGGCGCCTGCGGCGGGCTTTTTTTGCATTCCTTCCAGGTGGAGAGCCCGCGACCCACCCCGCGATCAACTCGCGACCAACCCGCGACCCAAACCACGTTCAGGGTACAAACCACATTTTTCGGCGCCTGCGGCGGGCATCTTTTGAATCGTTCTAGGTGGAGAGACCGCGGCCCACCCGCGACCACGTTCAGGGTACAAACCAATTTTTTCGGCGCCTGCGGCGAGCATCTTTTGCATTCGTTCCCGGTGGAGAACCCGCGGCCCACCCGCGACCCAAACCACGTTCAGTGTACAAACCAATTTTTTCGGCGCCTGCGGCGGGCTGCTTTTGCAGGAGGACGAGGAGGGGGAGGAGGAGGAGGAGGAGGAGGAGGAGGAGGAGCAGCAGGAGGAGGAGCAGCAGGAGGAGGAGGAGGAGGAGGAGGGGACGACGACGATCACGTCGACGACGACGACGAAAAGGAGGAGGGTGGAGGATCGGGAGGGGGGGAAGAGGAGGAGGACGACGAGGAGGAACATGACGACAATGGGAGGACGATGATGGAAGGACGAGGGGGGGAGAGGGAGGACGAGGAAGAAGCGGAGGAGGAGGAGGAGGAGAGGTGGAGGAGGAGGACGACGATGACGATGAGGACGAGGACGAGGACGAGGAAGAGGAGGAGGAGTAGGAGGCGGAGGAGGAGGAGGAGGAGGAGGAGGAGGAGGAGGAGGAGAGCGCCATCGACAGGGAAGGTGGGGGCCACGAGGTCCGCCGGCTTGACGACGCCCGCGTCGCCCGCGCCCGCCCCCTCACTCTTATCCGCAATTGCGGGGTGCTATGAGTAAATCATGTATAAGCTAGGTTAGGCCTGATATGATCCACCTTGCCAGTCACTTGTGAATCCCTGTATCCGTTTAGCAATCACCGCGGTGATCAACGTAAGAGGATGGCCGAAGAAGAAAAGTCGGCATCAACGTGAACTGTCGACGATCCGCGCAAAGTTCTTGGATCTGCGCTGGAGACCCCTGGGGGCGCCTCCGGCGCCGCCTCTTTCGCGGATGTCGCGCTGCGCGCGGCGCCAGGGAGTGGTGTCCATCGCAGATCTAAGAAAATCCACGCGGATAATCGAAAGTTGATGTTTATGCTTTGTTGTTTTCTTCTGGAGGAGGAGCAGCAGCAACAGCAGCAGGATAATGAGGAGGAGAGGGGGAAGGAGGAGGAGGAGGAGGAGGAGGAGGAGGAGGAGGAGGAGGAGGAGGAGGAGGAGGAAGGAGGAGGAGAGGGAGGAAGGCGGAGGAGAGAGGAGGAGGGAGGAGGAGGAGGAGGAGGGGAGGAGGAGGAGGAGGAGGAGGAGGAGGAGGAGGAGAGGAGAGGGGGAAGGAGGAGGAGGAGGAGGAGGAGGAGGAGGCGGAGGAGGAGGAGGAGGAGGGGGAGGAGGAGGAGGAGGAGGAGGAGGAGGAGGAGGAGGAGGAGGAGGAGGAGGAGGAGGAGGAAGGAGGAGGAGGAGGAGGACGGACGAGGAGGAGGACGGAGGAGGAGGAGGAGGATAGAGGAGGAGGAGGAGGAGGATTAGGAGGAGGAGGAGGAGGAGGAGGAGGAGGAGGAAGGGGGAATGAGCAGGAAGAAGAGAGGGACGAAGGAATGCGGCATACATACGGGCAGGATGCAGGTTTGGCCTGATTTGTTTCTCCAGGGCTGGGGTCAAGGCATTTGCTTTCTGTCTCGCGCAAACCGGAATCACTGCACAGCGCCAGCCCACCTAAACCCAGAACCAAGAACCTAGAGGAGAGCAGGACGAAAAGAAGGAGGAACAGGAGGATGAGGATGCGGGGTGAGAGCAGGAAGAGCAGGAGGAGGTCTATGAGGAGGAGGAGGAGGAGGAGGAGGTCTATGAGGAGGAGGAGGAGGAGGTCTATGAGGAGGAGGAGGAGGAGGAGGAGGAGGAGGAGGGAGAGAGAGGAAGAGGAGGAGGAGGAGGAGGAGGAGGAGGAGGAGGAGGCGGATGAGGATAATGTGGCGTGGGAGGCGGAGGGGGTGGACACCAGCTGTGCCTTCTGTGAGGGCTGCCTCCAGACGAGGGGGAGTCAGCGCGTTCCCAGAAAGTTGCAACTCTTAGGATTCATCCACTCGGCACGTGCTAGAGCACCTGGTGCATGAACGGCTTCGGCGTCTTCGAGCATGTACGTGGCCTGCACACAGGCGACGAGTACAGTGAGCTGAGTACTCCATGGATCATGCAACGTGTTGGTTGGTCATGCTTGACAGCGAGGTGAAAACTTGCTTCTTTACCGGGGCTTGGGCAAAGACGGCCTGTGACCTACATTTCGGACGAGTGTGTGTTCACTCCCTAGCCTTCTCTTACACCAGCCGCTCCCGATGCGAGTGTCTGTCACAAGTTTCGGCTGCACCTGCCAGCAGGTCTGGTCCTTCAAGGGCCAGAGCTGCCTGTATTACTGAGCTGCATCCCAGCCTGGGTTGTACGCGTCGAAGGGTGCTCCCCAATCGACGATGGGGAATCTGCGCCACGTGGGGAATCTGCGCCGCTGATCCCAGATTCAAACCAGTGGCACACACTCCCGACCCAGCGCCGATGCCCACGCTGTCCCACACGCACTGGCCGCGCGCGCCACAGGGTGGCGGAGAACGGCAGCGTCGGCGTGCCGTCGGTGGCGCCACAATGCGATGGCGCCACGACGACGGCGTGGCCGCCCTCCGACGCGGCACGCCACTCGGCATGCCGCAGGAACCGACGCTCCCGGAAGAGGGCCGGGGCCACCCTGCTCCGAGCGCCGCGCCGGGCGCGGAGACACGCAGGCGCTGGCGCTGGCGCCCCTGGTCCAGCGCGCCCGGAGGCGGCAGAGACGACGCCACAATCAAGCAGTGGCGAAGCGTCCTGGCTCGCCTCTATAGGCCCACCTGAGAATGTTCTAAGGGCCTTTTGTAGTCTGCACGAAATGTTCTTGGAACATGTCTGGCTGCGACTGCCTTGTTTTAGCACATGGGGATTCTGCTATCAGAGCATTGTTCTTGTTCTTAGAACATTTCTGGGTTCTACAAACATTTCGCGGTAGGCCTACATCACAAGGACGGTCGGTCCCTGCTCAACACAAGGAGGGCGTCTCGCCCCCGTCTGACCCTGCCGCGGGAGCCGCCGTTCCTAGAGGAGAGCAGCTGGCGACCCCGAGGTTGGGGGGCCGATAGCGGGGCGTGGGCGGTGGAGACGGACTGGGCCCACGTCCGGTGTCATCTCGGAGTGTTTTGCCAGCAGCACCGTGACGAGTATGTATACTCACAAGCGTTTGAGTCGGGCGTGTCCCTTTGCAGGCGGAATCTTCACATATAGTCTAAAAATAGTCAGGGGACGATTTGGGGACTACTTTTAGCTATTCTTGCACATTTGTGACTAGTTTCTTTCTTCTTCAAAAGCTGCCTGTAGGAGGACATGCCCGACCTAACACTCATGGGTACTTACTTTGAAATTATGCTGAAGGTTGCCACTTTATATGGCCTCTTCCTGGCATTGCAGCGTTGCCCACACCCGGAAGGGTTGGGTTCGCCGGATCACTGGCCAAAATACCCGTTCGTGGAGTCCCCGTTGGAGGAGCGGTGATCTTTGCGCTTGTGGCGATCTCTGTTGGTGTCGCTGCGACCGGCTGCCGGTGAGCGTGGTCTGGGGAGGCGCTTTTTTGCAGTACGCTTACGCTCAGGAGCTCTGGCTCAGCGTGTCGCTCCGCTGGCCCACCGCGCTTCGGAGCGACACGCCATCCACTTCCTGATGGGCCTGTTTTCCACCACCACCACCACCACCACCACCATAAGTTGGGGGGGAAGGAGGTGGCGGAGGAGGAGGAGGACGAGGAGGAGCAGGAGGAGGAGCAGGAGGAGGAGGAGGAGGACCCCCTCCCCCTCCTACTTGTGGTGGTGGTGGTGGTGGAACACAAGCCCACCATTTCCCAGTCGCCGAGCGCCTCCGTTCCGAGCTGTTCCCGGCCTCCCTGCCCCGCGCAGAGGAGCAGCACGCCGTCACCGTGCAGGGCGCGGGGTGTCGGGCCGCCCCCCGCGACGCGCCCAGCCAGGGGCTCCCGACTGGCACGTTCGGTACGTGTCGCGCTCGCCGTCGGCGCCTGGCGCTTGGGAAGAGCTCTGCCCCGCGGCCCGGGCCTTCTGCTGCGGCGGAGGCGTCCGTCGATGAAGGCGCCCGGGGGTCGTTGAGCCCTGACGTTGTGCAGAGTGCGGAGTGCTTTTGGAGCCGCCGGGGCCTGCTTCCAGGTCGAGTTCCTGGAGGCGTCGACGAGCCGGATTGCTTCTCCACCGTCTCCCGAGTATGCGAAGGCCGGGAGTGTGCACTTGCCGTTCGGCGCCATGGCAGTGTCTTGGGGCTGGTACTCTGGACCAACACCTGCGAGGACGGACATCACAACACGCAGATTGACTGAGCCAGAAGAGCCCGCATCATCATCGTACGACGGTCGACTCTTCAGTGGGCCTGTTAACTCGTGCGGTTTTGCTGTTAGAAAAAGAGGACGAATAATCTACTTCATCTGTTGTTATATGTGGACTTGGCACGTTTCGTGATGTTATCAGCAATGCCCGTCATAGTTTAGCCATGCTACCAGGTGAACTTGCTACTTTTCTGAGCATTCCATCGGTTGTCCAAGTACCTTGTCGTATTCTTCTGTTGTCCCAGCACTACATGTTGAAAGTGCAGGCCCCCCATCCTATATCGTCCTGTGCATTCGCTTGTGTACCGTTGCCACCTTTCTTCATCTCGGTAGTGCCCCCCTTCGCTTCGTTGGCCTCGTTCCATCCTCCTCGTCATCCTCATCATAATCCCCCCTCACTATCCACGGAAGGTCAGCGCTCGAATTGCCAACACAGCCCATCATGTGATCGATTTCGCCACCAGCTTGATGATTGCGGTGTGTGTCACGTCCACAGCGCTTCGCAGCATCAGGTCTGGACTTACAAAAGAGCGGGGTCCGTATCGGGCATTGGTGTGAGCCTCTTGGGCTCGCCACGGGGCTCGCTTGCGCTTGTAAAATAAAGTGAGCTTTCTTGGCGTTCTCTTAGAGCCCTCTTGCGGGCCTACTGGGCCATGCGGAGGCCATCTTGGGCTGGCTCGGGAACCTTCTCAGCCGTCTCGGGGGTCGTTGCCGGGCTGGGGCATTGAATCAAGATCGGGACAAACACAAAACAACATCGATTCTCATGAACACATGGGAAAGCATAAGGCATGGAAGGGAAGAGGAGAACCCGGAAAAGATGGATAGATACGGAAAGCTCTGGAGCTTCTAAAAATATGTGTGTCCCCCTGGGCTCCTCCATTGAGGGCCACCTCGGAGCCATCCACAATCCCTAGGAGGACCCCTCGGAACAGATCGACGAGTTCCCCAGAAGGGGGGGAGGAGGGGCAAGCGCGGCAGCTCGGGGGGAGGCCCGCTGGGGGGTTAGGCATTCAATGGGAATGGCACCACCAGAACACGCCTGTCTCTCGGGCGTGCTTCTTGGTCTGGTCGGCAGTCTGAGGGGCTGTGTCCTGGTGTAGCCTGAAGTCGGGCATGCTCCTCTACAGGAGGATCATTCAAAAATAGGGAAACATAGTCGGGGGACGATTTGTTGAACTATGGTTGAGCATTTTGGAACGTTTTTTGGACCATGTTATGTTATCCGTTTTCGCCCAACATCCGCCTGTAGGGGGACATGCCCGACCTAAGTGTAGTCAGGCCCCCCGGCAGTGCGGGCTTGGGCAGATCTCTGGGCCAACTCGGGGTTCGTTTCGTATCTCCGTCAAGGGGCCTGACCAGTACAGGCTGCAATTTGGCATCGTTTGGTATCTCTTGGAAGCGAGGGTGGTCAAAAGCGAGGTAGGTTTGTTTTCCCCCTAATTTCGGTGGGGCCACTCTGCCCCCCCTCTCTCGGGGGCGCAGTGGAGCCCCCGGGGGCCACCTTTTGTTGGGGTCGCGGCTCGGGTATCAATCGAGGATGTAGCAGGCGAGCGAACGGTGCCAGGGCAACGAGGGCCCTCTTCCTGCACACCCGACAGGCTGCACAGAGCATGCATGCCTAGTGCAGACTTGTTGGTGTCATAACACTTACGTATCTAGAAATCGAGAGACCTCTCTGGAGAGACCCTGGGGCCGACTCGGCGCCCACTTGAACCATCTTGGGCTGTGCTGGGCCACTTTGAGGTCACCCGCTTGGGGCCAGCTTTAGGCGGTCTTGCAGCTGCCTTGCAGCCACTTGGGGTCGTCTTGAGGCCATCTTGGGATATCTTGGGAGTAAAACAGTCGACCATCAGGACATTGCTGTCCACCAAAGTTCTGATCCACGATGTGTTGTTCTCTCGGAGTGTTTGATGCACTCTTGGAACTACTTGAGACCTCCTTGAGTCCATATTTACTATTTCTAAGGCTGTGGGGGCTCTATCTGGTCCCTCTCCGAGCACTCCTTGAAGCATGTTTGGCCCTCTTGGCCGGCTGGCGGCTTTCTTATGTGAATCATGTGGCAATTCAGGCCGGCCAGGAGTCTGCTGTACACACCCCAGGTGTTTGTGTCTTCTTCCGCCGCAGCCCCCCTCCCCTCAGTAGACATCGTGAAGAGACCTGATTCGGGAAGCTCGGTGATGCAACATGCATGCTATAAGGGTCACTATGTCAAGAAGCATCCGCAAACCTGCAGTTCAGCAGTGACAAGTAGAGCCTTGCACCCCCCGAGGGGGCCAGAGGATTCCTTGGGCTGCTCCTCAACTCGCTGTAGGCTTGAGTGGAACGATGAAGATGAGGAAGGAGCAGAAGGGGCTCATGGGGTAGAGGGATGATGAGCAGGGAGAGGAGAACGAGGAGTAGGAGGGAGGAGTCGGAGTAGGATGAGGAGGCGGAACACGAGAACGGATTAGTGTAATGAGGAGATGACGGTGGAGGAATCGGATGATGGCGAGGAGTAATGAGGGGAGGATGCAGGTGCGCAACAAGAGCGGTGAGGAGGGAGACTGGAGAAAGAGACAAGGACAGAGAGGAGGATATATAGGAAAATGATATTGAGGATAGCGATGAGTACGAGGAGAAGAGGAGGAAACAGCCAGCAGTTGGAGCAGATATGACCAGGATAAAAGTTGCGAAGGGTGAAGTGTGACGACGAGGAGAAAGGGAGGAGCGTGAGGCGGAGGAGGAAGCCAGAGGTTGGAGTAGAGAGGAGTAGGGAGAGGATCACGCGGAATGGGAGGATAAGGACCTGTTTAACCCCAGACGAATCAACGATGTTGCAAGAAGCCTTTCTCCAAGTTCCTCCGTCACAGGTCCCTGCCAGACTGCATCATCATTGCGGGATGTGTCGCTTTGAAAGACAACCGTTCGAGAACCCTAGATCTTGCCAGGACATTCTTCTTAGGACTTCACCTCTGCAGATACGTGGCTGCTGCGTCCTGGCAATGCTGAGCCGTTCCAGAACACCATCTCTGGGACCCCAACACCGCAGATCGAGGTGACTGCTGCGTCCTGGCAGTTTTCGACAATGCCAGAACACCATGTCTGGACTGCAGCTTTGCGAGCCCTGGAGCGACTGTGCGCGGCGCCGGGGCGAGCATCTCGTTTTGGAAAGGAGGGCTCGCCCTCCGTCCTTGATCCTGATGCAAGCCCTTCCGGCGAGTGTTCTCGAGACGGCGAGAGCGACATGTTCACAACCGGCCGCCCTCCGTTCCCGAAGCCGGTGCCGCTGTCAAAAGCTTCAGGGCCACGTGTGGCGGGGAGGAGTCTCGGGCGAGGTCGCCCGGCCCGCCCGCTCCGACACGCCTGGGAGCGCGACGGGGAGGAGCTGTTTGAGATGGACGCGGGATGCAGCACGAGGAGGAGAGGGGGGCCGTGAGGCTCGGGCAGGGCACGATGCGCCGCAAGAAGCCCCTCGGGCCCGAGCTATTCGCGCTGGGGTAGCCGGGCGCTCCTCGCCGCGGGAGTTCGGGGAGGGGCTGGGCAGCTCCGGGGTCTCGGACCGCAGATGCGTTCCCCGCTGCTCCTCCCCCGTGCCTCCCCTCCGCCACCTCCTCCGCCACCAGCTCCCCCCATCCACGTCCTCCTCGTCCTTCCCTTCGCCCCCTCCCCCCTTCCAGCGGTGGCAGCAAACGCTGTTGAATGCTAAGAACTGGTTGTGTTGTTTCTGTTGTTGTGTGTCTCGTTCTGAACGCGTTCTGTTTTCCGTTCTAAACGATGATGTAAACGATTTGGCAGGCCAAGAGACTTTGTTTCGTTTTGTTTTGTTTGCGCCGCGCGCCGCGCGTCTTGTTTTGTTTCGTTGTTCTCGTTGTTCTCGTTCTGCCTCGTCTCTGCGCCAGCGGCTTTCGCGCGGAGACCATGGAGTCATGATCAGGTTTTCGCACGGAGCCCAAGGAATTCAGACAAGGATTTTCTGAAGGAGCCCGAGGAGTTAGGACAATGGTTTCGAGAGGGGCCCAACGAGTTAAGAGAAGGTTTTCGTAGGGAGGCCAAGGAATTAGGATACGCTTTTCGCGGAGAGCCCAGGGAGATCAGACCAGGATTTTCGAGAGGAGCCCGAGGGGTTAGGATAAGGCTTTAATTCGCGCCTTGAAACATTAGGATAGGTGTTCGTGGGATTCTCAGGGAATCGGGGAGCACTTTCCGCGGGGAGCCCAAGGAATCCAGTTTAGAGTTTTCGCAAGCGGCCCGAGGAGATAGCAACATGAGGCCATCATCACCCCAGCGAGTTAGGATGAGGTTTTCGTAGGGAGCCCAATGTGTTAGGATAAGGTTCTCGCGGGTGGGAGGGGGTGCAAGGAATCAGGGTTAGGTTTTCGCAGGGAGCCCAAGGAGTTCAGACGAGTATTTGTCAAGGATCCCGTGAAGTCAGCGATGTGGTCTTGCAAGGGGCCCACGGCGTTAGGATAAGGCTTTCGCAGGTAGGCCAAAGAGCTAGGATACGCTTTTCGCGGGGAGCCCAAGGAGATCAGACGAGAATGTTCGTGATGAGCCCGAGAGGTTCGGATAAGGTTTTGATTAGCGCCTCAGAACATTCGGATAAGGCTTTGGTAGGGTTCTCAGGGAGTTCGGGCACAGCTTCCGCGGGGAGCCCAAGGAACTTAGTTGAGGATTTTTGCAAGCGGCCCGAGGCGATAGCAACATGTTGTCATACTCACCCCAGCGAGTTAGGATAAGGTGTTCGTAGGGAGCCCAATGAGTTAGGATAAGGTTTTCGCGGGGGTGGGGAAGGGGGCAAGGGGTCAGGATGAGGTTTTCGCAGACATCACTAGAGTTTCGGATGAGGATTTCGCAAGGATCTGGAGAAGTCAGCGATGTGTTCTCGCAAGGTGCTCAAGGCTTTCAGATAAGTCTTGCCAATGAGTTAGGATAAGCTTTCGTGGGGAGCCTAAGGAGATCAGACGAGGATTTTCGCGAGGAGACCAGGGGATAAGGATAATGCGTTCGTTAGTGCCCCAAGGCGTTAGGATACGAATTAGGATACAGTTTTCGGTGGGGCCCCAAGGAATTCAGGTGAGCATTTCCGAGCGTGGCATGTTTTTTTCCGCCAGGACATTGAGTTAGGATAAGGTTATCACATGGCGCCAAACGCGTCAGGATAAGATTTTCGCGGGCAGCCGCAGGCGTGCAGATGAGGATTTTCGCAAGGAGCCCAGCAAGTTCGCACGGCGTATTTTCGTAAGCGCCCCAATGAGTTAGGATAGTGTTTTCGAAGGAAGCCCAAGGAGTTAGGACAAGGTTTCGGGGGGAGCCGCAGGCATTCAGATGAGGATTCACGCAAGAAAGCCCAGGGGGTTGGTTCAGGTTTCGTTTGTGGCCCAGGGCGTTGAGATGGGGATTTCGTATGGAGCCGAATGAGTTCATATGAATATCTAATGGGGAGCCCAAGGAGTTGGGATGAGCTTTCTCGTCAGTGGCCCAAGGCGTCCGGATAAGGTTTCCGCATGGGGCCCAGGGAGCTAGGATCAGGTGTTCGTTGGGAGCCCAAGGAGTTCAGATGTGGATTTTCTTGAGGAGCCCGAGAGGAGTCAGGATGAAGCCTTCATTGGTTGTCCAAGGTGGTAGGAAAAGGTTCACGCAGGGAGCCAAAGGATTGCGGGATAAGGTTTTCGCTGGGAGTCCTAAGAATTCACATTGTGTGTCCCAGGCGTGTTTTGAAAGTGGGTTGACGTCGCCCGAGTAGCTCAAGTCGCACAAGTAGCCCAAGTAGCCCAAGTAGCCCAAGGGTTTGCCCCAAGTAGCCCAAATAGCTCGAGACATCCTCACAACTCTGGCGCCGCCGCTCAAGACATCCTCACAACTTTGGCTACTTGGGCTACTTGGGCTGCTTGGGTCAATCCTCTACTTGGGCTACTTGAGCCGCTCGAGACATCCTCACAACTCTGGCTGCTTGAGCTACTTGGGCTATTTGGGTCAATCCCTCTACTTGGGCTACTTGGTACGCTCGAGATATCCTCACAAATCGTGCGCCGCCGCTCGAGACCTCCTCGCAACCCTGGCTTCTTGGGCTACTTTGGCTACTTGGGTCAATCTTCTACTTGGGCTACTTGACCCGCTCGAGACATCCTCACAACTCCGGCGCTGCCGCTCGAGACATCCTCACAGCTTTGGTTACTTGGGCACTTGGGCTACTTGGGCTAATTCTCTACGTGGGCTACTTGGTCCGCTCGAGACATCCTCACAACTCGTTCGCCGCCGCTCGAGACCCTCCTCGCAACCCTGCCTACTAGGGCTACTTGGGCTAATTGGGCTACTTGGGGTACTTGGGTCAATCCTCTACTTGGGCTACTTGGGCCGCCCGAGACACCCTCACAGATGTTGCTACTCGGGCTACCTGGGCTACTTGGGCCGCTCGAGACATCCTCACAACTCTGGCGCCGCTGCTTGAGACATCCTAACCACGTTGGCTACTTGGGCTACTGAGGCTAGTTGAGTCAATCCTCTACTTGGGCTACTTGGGCCGCTCGAGACATCCTCATTTTCTGGCACTTCCGCTTGAGACATCCTCACATATTTGGCTACTTGGGCTACTTGGGCTAATTCTCTACTTGGGCGACTTGGTCCGCTCGAGACATCCTCACAAATCGTGCGCCGCCGCTCGAACCCCCCTCGCAACCCTGCCGACTTGGGCTACTTGGGCTTCTTGGGTCAATCCTGTAGATGGGCTACTTGGCCCGCCCGAGACATCCTCCAAACTCTGGCTACTTTGGCTACTTTGGCGACTTGGGCGCCCGAGACATCCTCACAACTCTGGCGCCGCAGCTCGAGGCATCCTCACTACTCTGGCTATTTGGGCTACTTGGGCTACTTGGGTCAATCCTCTACTGGGGCTACTTGGGCCGCTCGAGATATCCTCACAACTCTGGCGCTGCCGCTCCAGACATCCTCATAACTTTGGCTACTTGGGTTTCTTGGGCTACTTGGGTCAATTCTCTACGTGGGCTGCTTGGTCCGCTCGAGACATCCTCACAACTCGTTCGCCGCCGCTCGAGACCTCCTCGCAACTCTGGCCTGGACTATTAAGGCTACTTGAGCTACTTGAGTCAATCCTCTACTTGGGCTACTTGGGCCGCTGGGGAAACTCTGGCGCCGCCGCTCGAGACATCCTCACAACTTTAGCTACTTGGGCTACTTGGGCTACTTGGGTCAATCTTCTACTTCGGCTGCTGGAGCCGCCCGAGACATTCTCACAACTCTGGCGCCGCGCTACTTGTGCTTGGGCTACTTGGGTCAACTCTGTATTTGGGCCAACTGGGCCGCTCGAGACGTCCTCGCAAGTCTAGCACCGCCGCTTGTG